GGGGCTTATGGTGGGGAGGGGCTTGAGGGGGATGGGAAAGAGCAATTAAGACCCTAATTAACCACAATTAAGAACCTAATTAACCCTAATTAAGCCCCTTATTAACCGTGATTAAGCCCCTACTTAAGCCCCTAAAATCCCTTATTTGGTCCCTAATTAAATGCCTAATTAAGCCCCTAATTAACCCTAATTAAGCATCTAATTAAGCCTAATTAAGTCCCGAATTAAGCCCCTAAACCCCCAATTAGCCCCTTAATGAAATGCTTCATTAAGCCTCAAATTAACCCTAATTAAGCCCCTAAAAATCCTGATCAACACCCGAATTAACCCCCAATTAAATCCCTAATTAACCCCCTAATTAACCAGGAATAATCCCCCAATTAACTCTAATAATGTCCTAATTAAGCCCCTAATTAGCCCTTCTGAATACTTTTTCATGTCACTAATTAACGCTAATTAAATCCGTTATCAATCCCCTAATTAACGTTAATCATACCTTAATTAAATCCCTTATTAATCCTCTAATTGACATCTAATTAAATCTCTAATTAACCCTAATTCTGCCCCCAATTCACGCTTATTAAACCTTTAATTAACGCTAATTAAGCCCCTAATTAAACTCCTACCTAAACCCCCTAATTACCCCTGAATTAACCCCTAATTAGCCCCTAATTAACCGCTAATTAAGGCTAATTAACCCTTGCAGGTGCGGGGGAGCGAATCGAGAACACCCTGGAGGCCTTCGAGAAGTGAGAGCCCCTCCCCCACCCAGCCCCGCCCCCTAATTAATGAATTTAATTAATGAATTAATGAATTAAGTAGCCCCGCCCTCCTTCTTAAAGGGCCAGGGACCAATTTGAGGCTCCCCCTCCATGAAGCCACGCCCACTTTTGAAGAGGCCACGCCCCTTTTAAAGGCTCCTAAAGGGACAGAACCTCAATAAAATCAAAGCCACGCCCACTTTTGATGAGACCACGCCCCCCTTTAAATCACTTAAAGGGCCAGAACCGCATTAAAATAGAGCCACGCCCACTTTTAAAGAGGCCACGCCCCCCTGTAAAAGGCTCTTAAAGGGCCAGAGCGGCTGTGACATGAAAGCCACGCCCACAAAAAGCCACGCCCCCTTTTCCTTAAAGGGCCAGCACAACCTTAAACTGGAAACCACGCCCAGTTTTGAAGAGGCCACGCCCCTTTTAAGGGCTCTTAAAGGGCCAGCACTGCCCCAAAATTTGGCCCCTCCCGTTCTTAAAGGGCCAGGAGCACCTTTTTAAAAGCCACGCCCACTTTTAAAGTGACCACGCTCCCTTTAAATGCTCTTAAAGGGCCAGAGCCGCATTAAAATAGAGCCACGCCCACTTTTTTAAAGGCCACGCCCCCTTTAAAGGCTCTTAAAGGGCCAGAGCAGCATTACAATCAGAGCCACGCCCACTTTTAAAGAGGCCACACCCCTATTAAAGGCTCTTAAAGGGCCAGCACCACCCTAAAATCGAAGCCACGCCCCCTTTGAAAGCTCTTAAAGGGCCATACCCCACCTTTAATGAACCCTAATCATTAATTAATTAAGCGCCGTGGCCGAGGGCTGTGATTGGCTGGAGCTGGACGTGCGCCGCACCCGCGATGACGTCATCGTCGTGTGCCACGACCGCGACCTGTCGCGACAGAGCGGCCGCCATCTTGACGTCACCCAGCTGGACTACGCGGTTCGTTAATTATTAGCGCTAATTAGCGCTAATTAGTCCGTTATTAATCACCGCTCCGTTAATTATTGGGGGTAATTATGGGTTTGCGGGCTGATTAAGGGGGTAATTAATGGTAATTAGCGGTAATTAATTGGTTTTTAATAATTATTACGTTAGTTATGATTATTAATTATCGCTTTGAGGTGTTAATTGTTAATTTAATATGGCGGCGGTGGCGTGATTAAGGGTAATTAGTGTTAATTAGCGTTAGTTAATTGGTGCTTATTAATTATTATAGGATTTGTATTCCTTTGCATTAGTTAATTAATTAATTAATTAATCCTCGGTAGTGCTAATTATTAATTCAATATTACCCAATTAAGTGTAATTGATGTTAATTAGCGTTAATTAATTGGTGTGTAATAATTATTATATTTATTTTAATTAATTAATTAATTTAATTAATTAATTAATTAATTGATTAATCCTCCGTAGTGTTAACTATTCATTTAAGATGGCGGTTGTGAGCTAATTAAGGGTGATTAATGTTAATTAATTGGTGTTTAAATAATCCTAATTGCCCATTAATTAATCCTAATTAACCCTAATAAACCACCAACTACGGATTCCTAATTAATGGCTAATTACTTCCTAATCAATCACATATTTAATTCACAATTCACCCTAATCACCCATTAATTAACCCAAATTAACCATTAATAATCCTAATTAACCCCTAATTACGCCTTAATTCTCCCTAATCAATGACTAATTACCATTAATTAACACAAATCAACCCCTAATTAACCATTAATAATCCTAATTAAGCCCTAATTACGCCTTAATTCTTCCTATTTAATGGCTTATTGCGATTAATTACCTCTAATTAATTGCTAATTAACAGCCTCTAGGCCTAATTAGTGCTAATTAAGGCTAATTAAGGTTAATTAACTCCTCAGGATCTTCCCCCTTACCGGAGCCCCCTGGAGGTGACGTTTTCTCCTGGTAAAAAAAAATTAAAAT